TGGGCACACCTGGACAGGTGGGACACACCTGGGTGAGTGTGGGACACACCTGGGCAGGTGAGTTACCTGTACAGCAGGTACAAGGTGAGTGTGCGTCACACCTGGGCACACCTGGACACTCCTGGGCACACCTGGACACACCTGGGCACACCTGGGTGAGTGTGGGACACACCTGGGCAGGTGAGTTACCTGTACAGCAGGTACAAGGTGAGTGTGCGACATACCTGGGCACACCTGTGTGAGTGAGTGACACACCTGTGGGACACACCTGGACAGGTGGGACACACCTGGGTGAGTGTGGGACACACCTGTGGGACACACCTGGACAGGTGGGACACACCTGGGTGAGTGTGGGACACACCTGGGCACGTGGGACACACCTGTGGGACACACCTGGACAGGTGTGACACACCTGGGTGAGTGTGTGACACACCTGGGCCCAGGTGTTGTGTCTCAGGTGTATCTCAGGTGGATCCCAGGTGGATCCCAGGTGTGTTTTACCTGTCCCAGGTGTATCCCAGGTATCACAGGAGTATCTCAGGTGTATCTCAGGTGTGTTTTACTTGTCTCATATGTATCTCAGGTGTTTCAGATGTATCTCAGGTAACTCAGGTGTATCCCAGGAGTATCTCACCTGTCCCAGGTGTGTCTCAGGTAACTCAGGTGTAACTCAGGTATATCTCAGGTGTGTTTTACCTGTTTCAAGTAATTCAGGTGTGTTTCAGGTGTATCTCAGGTAGATCAGGTGTAACTCAGGTGTGTCTCAGGAGTGTTTCACCTGTCTCAGGTGTGTATCAGGTAACTCAGGTGTGTTTTACCTGTCTCAGGTGTATCCCAGGTGTATCTCAGGTAACTCAGGTGTATCTCAGGAGTGTCTCACCTGTCTCAGGTGTATCTCAGATAACTCAGGTGTATCCCACGTATCTCAGGTGTATCTCAGGTGTGTTTTACTTGTCTCAGGTGTATCCCAGGTGTCTCAGGTGTAGCTCAGGTAGCTCAGGTGTATCCCAGGAGTGTCTCACCTGTCTCAGGTGTGTCTCAGGTGTATCTCAGGTGTGTTTTACCTGTCTCAGATGTATCTCAGGTACCTCGGGTGTGTCTCAGGTAACTCAGGTGTATCCCAGGAGTATCTCAGGAGTGTCTCACCTGTCTCAGGTGTAACTCAGGTACCTCAGGTGTGACCCAGGTGTAACTCAGGTGTATCCCAGGAGTGTCTCACCTGTCTCAGGTGTGTCTCAGGTGTAACTCAGGTGTGTCTCACCTGTCTCAGATGTATCTCAGGTACCTCAGGTGTGTCTCAGGTAACTCAGGTGTATCCCAGGAGTGTCTCACCTGTCTCAGGTGTATCTCAGGTGTGTCTCACCTGTCTCACCTGCAGAAGCTGCAGCAGGAGCTGGAGTTCCTGGAGGTGCAGGAGGAGCTCAGCTCCTGCCCTGAGCCCNAGGAGCTGGAGTTCCTGGAGGTGCAGGAGGAGCTCAGCTCCTGCCCTGAGCCCCACGGCCCAGGTGTGACCCAGGTGTAACTCAGGTGTATCCCAGGAGTGTCTCACCTGTCTCAGGTGTATCCCAGGAGTGTCTCACCTGTCTCAGGTGTAACTCAGGTGTGTCTCACCTGCAGAAGCTGCAGCAGGAGCTGGAGTTCCTGGAGGTGCAGGAGGAGTACATCAAGGACGAGCAGAGGAACCTCAAGAAGGAGTTCCTGCACGCCCAGGAGGAGGTCAAGCGCATCCAGAGCATCCCGCTGGTCATCGGCCAGTTCCTGGAGGCCGTCGACCAGAACACGGCCATCGTGGGCTCCACCACAGGTGGGCACACCTGGGCACACCTGGGGGCGGGAAAACGGGGGAAATTTGGGGGAAATCGGTGAAAATTTGGGGAAAATCGGTGGAAATTTGGGGAAAATAGGTGGAAATTTGGAGGAAATCGGTGGGAATTTGGAGGAAATCGGTGGAAATTTGGTGAAAATTTTGGGATTTTGGGGTATGGGCACACCTGGGCGCACCTGGGAATGGTTCCACACACCTGGGCACACCTGGCCACACCTGGGGGCGGGAAAACGGGGGAAATTTGGGGGAAAACGGTGGAAATTTGGGGGAAAACGGTGGAAATTTGGGGAAAATCGGTGGAAATTTGGGGAAAATAGGTGGAGGTTTGGTGGAAATTTGGGGATTTTGGGGTTTGGGCACACCTGGCCACACCTGGGGGCAGGAAAACGGGGGAAATTTGGGGGAAATCGGTGGAAATTTGGGGAAAATAGGTGGAAATTTGGAGGAAATTGGTGGAAATTTGGTGAAAATTTTGGGATTTTGGGGTTTGGGCACACCTGGGCGCACCTGGGAATGGTTCCACACACCTGGGCACACCTGGGGGAGGGAAAACGGGGGAAATTTGGTGAAAATCGGTGGAAATTTGGGGAAAATCGGTGGAAATTTGGGGAAAATAGGTGGAAATTTGGAGGAAATCGGTGGAAATTTGGAGGAAATCGGTGGGAATTTGGTGGAAATTTTGGGATTTTGGGGTTTGGGCACACCTGGGCACACCTGGGAATGGTTCCACACACCTGGGCACACCTGGGGGCGGGAAAACGGGGGAAATTTGGGGGAAATCGGTGGAAATTTGATGAAAATTTGGGGATTTTGAGGGAAATTTGGGGATTTTGTGGGAAGTTTTGGGGTTTGGGCACACCTGAGGAAATCTGTGGAAATTTGGTGAAAATTTTGGGATTTTGGGGTCTGGGCACACCTGGGGATGATTCCACACACCTGGGCCACACCTGGGGGCGGGAAAACGGGGGAAATTTGAGGAAAATTGATGAAAATTGGTGGAAATTTGATGAAAATTTGGGGGTTTTGATGGAAATTTGGGGATTTTGTGGGAAGTTTTGGGGTCTGGGCACACCTGGGCACACCTGGGGGTGGAGAAATGGGGAAAAATGGGAGAAATTTGGGGTAAAATGGTGGAAAATTGATGAAAATTTGGGGATTTTGGGGTTTGGGCACACCTGGGGGAGGAAAAATGGAAAAAATTTGGTGAAAATCGGTGGAAATTCGATGAAAATTGGTGGAAATTTGGAGGATATTGGTGAAAATTTGGGGATTTTGGGGGAAATTTTGGGGTTTGGGCACACCTGGGGGTGAGAAAATTTGGGAAAATTGGGGAAAATCGATAAAAATTTGGGAATTTGGGGGTTTGGGCACACCTGAGCACACCTGGGGATGGGAAATGGGGAAAAATGGGGAAAATTGGGGGAAAATTAGTGGGAAATTGGGGGAAAAACTGGGGAAAGTTGGGGGGAAAGTTGGGGGGAAAATTGGTGGAAATTTGGGGAAAAATGGGAAAAAATTGGGGAAAAATTGGGGAAACTGGAGGGAAAAATGTGGAAAAACTGGGGGAAATTGGTGGGAAAATGGGGAAAATTTGGGGAAAAAATGGGGGAAAATCATGGGAAAATGGGGAAAAACTGGGAAAAAGGGGGAAAAGTCAGGGAAAATTGGTGGGAAAATGGGGGGGAAAATGGGAAAAAATTGGGGGGGTAATGGGGAAAAATTGGTGTGAAAATGGGGAAAATTGGTGGAAAAATGGGGGGAAATGGGGAAAATTGGGGAAAAAAGGGGAAAAATTGGTGGGGAAATTGGGAAAATTGTGGGGAAAATGGGGAAAATTGGGGGGAAAATTGGGGGAAAAATTGGGAAAAAATTGTGGGGAAAATGGAGAAAATTGCTGAAAAAATCGGGAAAAATCATGGAAAAATCGTGGAAAATGGGGAAAATTTGGGGGAAAATGGGGAAAAATTGGGGGAAATTGGGGAAAATTGGGGGAAAAATGGGGAAAAAAATGGTGAGAAAAATGGAGAAAATTGCTGGAAAAATCATGGAAAAATCGTGGAAAAATGGGGAAAATTTGGGGGAAAAGGGGGAAAATTTGGGGGAAAATGGGGAAAAATTGTGGGGAAAATTGGGGGAAAATTGTGGGGAAAATGGAGAAAATTGTTGGAAAATTGGGGGGAAATTGGGGAAATTTGGGGGAAAATGGGGAAAATTTGGGGAAAAAATTGGGGGAAAAATTGGGAAAAAATTGTGGGGAAAATGGAGAAAATTGCTGAAAAAATCGGGAAAAATCATGGAAAAATCGTGGAAAATGGGGAAAATTTGGGGGAAAATGGGGAAAAATTGGGGGAAATTGGGGAAAATTGGGGGAAAAATGGGGAAAAAATGGTGAGAAAAATGGAGAAAATTGCTGAAAAAATCAGGAAAAATCATGGAAAAATGGGGGAAATTTGGGGGAAAATGGGGAAAAATTGTGGGGAAAATTGGGGAAAATCGGGGGGAAAATGGGGAAAAAATTGTGAGAAAAATGGAGAAAATTGCTGAAAAAATCGGGAAAAATCATGGAAAAATCGTGGAAAAATGGGGAAAATTTGGGGGAAAAGGGGGAAAAATCTGGGGAAAATTGGGGGAAAATTGTGGGGAAAATGGAGAAAATTGTTGGAAAATTGGGGGGAAATTGGGGAAATTTGGGGGAAAATGGGGAAAATTTGGGGGAAATGGGGAAAAATTGGGGGAAATTGTGGGGAAAATGGGTAAAATTGATGGAAAATTGGGGGGAAATGGAGAAAATTGGGGGAAAAATGGGGAAAAATCATGGAAAAATAGTGGGAAACCGGGGGAAATTGGGGGAAAATTGTGGGGAAAATGAGGAAAATTGGGGGAAAATGGAGAAAAATGGGGAAAAAATTGGTGGGAAAAATGGGGAAAATTGCTGAAAAAATCGGGAAAAATCATGGAAAAATCGTGGAAAAATGGGGAAAATTTGGGGGAAAAGGGGGAAAAATCTGGGGAAAAACGGGGAAAATGTGGGGGAAATTTTGGAGAAGGTCTGGGAATTTTTGGGCCCAGGCTCCAACTACTACGTGCGCATCCTGAGCACCATCGACCGCGAGCTGCTGAAGCCCAACGCCTCGGTGGCGCTGCACAAGCACAGCAACGCCCTGGTGGACGTCCTGCCGCCCGAGGCCGACAGCAGCATCATGATGCTGACCTCAGGTGGGCACAGCTGGCACAGCTGGGGCACAGCTGGGCACAGCTGGCACCCGTAAAACGTCGTTCCGGGGTGAAAAAATGGAATTTTGGGGCAAAAAAATGAAGTTTTGGGGGCGAAAATGGGGTTTGGGGTCACCAAAAGGTCTTGAGATCTTCGGTGGAGCCAGTCTGGGGTCAGGAGGTCTGACCTGGGCACAGCTGGGCACAGCTGGCACCCGTAAAACGTCGTTCCCGGGCGAAAAAACGGAATTTCGGGGCGGAAAAATGAAGTCTTGGGTCCAAAAATGGGGTTTGGGGTCACCAAAAGGTCTTGAGATCTTGGGTGGAGGCGTCTTGGGGTCACCTGGGCACAGCTGGCAGCAGCTGGCATCCATAAAACGTCGTTCCGGGGCGAAAAAACGGAATTTCGGGGCGGAAAAATGAAGTTTTGGGAGTGAAAATGGGGTTTGGGGTCACCAAAAGGTGTTGAGATCTTGGGTGGAGGCATCTTGGGCACAGCTGGCACAGCTGGGGCACAGCTGGCAGCAGCTGGCACCCGTAAAACGTCGTTCTGGGGTGAAAAAATGGAATTTCGGGGCAAAAAAATGAGGTTTTGGGAGCGAATTGGGGTTTGGGGTCACCAAAAGGTCTTGAGATCTTGGGTGGAGGCATCTTGGGCACAGCTGGCACAGCTGGGGCACAGCTGGGCACAGCTGGCACCCGTAAAACGTCGTTCCCGGGCGAAAAAACGGAATTTCGGGGCGGAAAAATGAAGTTTTGGGTCAAAAAATGGGGTTTGGGGTCACCAAAAGATCTTGAGATCTTCGGTGGAGCCACTCTGGGGTCAGGAGGTCTGACCTGGGCACAGCTGGGATCCATAAAACGTGTTTTTGGGGCGAAAAAACGGAATTTTGGGGTGAAAAAACGAAGTTTTGGGAGCGAAAATGGGGTTTGGGGTCACCAAAAGGTCTTGAGATCTTCGGTGGAGGCATCTTGGGCACAGCTGGGCACAGCTGGGGCACAGCTGGCAGCAGCTGGCACCCGTAAAACGTCGTTCCGGGGTGAAAAAATGGAATTTTGGGGCAAAAAAATGAAGTTTTGGGTCCAAAAATGGGGTTTGGGGTCACCAAAAGGTCTTGAGATGTTGGGTGGAACCATCCTGGGGACACCTGGCACAGCTGGGCACAGCTGGGATCCATAAAATGTCGTTTTGGGGCAAAAAAACGAAATTTTGGGGTGAAAAAGTGAAGTTTTGAGGCAAAAAATGGGGTTTGGGGTCACCAAAAGGTCTTGAGATCTTCAGTGGAGGCATCTTGGGCACAGCTGGGCACAGCTGGCATCCATAAAACGTGTTTTTGGGGCAAAAAAATGGAATTTTGGGGTGAAAAAATGAAGTTTTGGGGGTGAAAATGGGGTTTGGGGTCACCAAAAGGTCTTGAGATCTTGGGTGGAGGCATCTTGGGCACAGCTGGGGCACAGCTGGGAGCACCTGGCACCCATAAAACGTCGTTTCGGGGTGAAAAAATGGAATTTCGGGGCAAAAAAATGAGGTTTTGGGAGCGAATTGGGGTTTGGGGTCACCAAAAGGTCTTGAGATCTTCGGTGGAGGCATCTTGGGCACAGCTGGGCACAGCTGGCATCCATAAAACGTGGTTTTGGGTCGAAAAAACGGAATTTCGGGGTGAAAAAACGAAGTTTTGGGGGCGAAAATGGGGTTTGGGGTCACCAAAAGATCTTGAGATCTTGGGTGGAGGCATCTTGGGCACAGCTGGCACAGCTGGGCACAGCTGGCATCCATAAAACGTCATTTTGGGGCAAAAAAACCAAAATTTTGGGTCCAAAAATGGGGTTTGAGGGCCAAAAATGGTGGTTGAGGTCACCTGAAGGTCTTGAGATGTTGGGTGGAACCATCTTGGGGACACCTGGGCACACCTGAGGGACACCTGGGATCCATAAAACGTCGTTTTGGGGCGAAAAAACAAAATTTTGGGTCCAAAAAGTGAAACTTTGGGTCAAAAAATGGGTTTTGGGGTCACCTGAAGGTCTTGAGATGTTGGGTGGAGCCATCTTGGGGTGGGCTTGGTCCCAGTTGGTCCAAACTGGTCCAAACTGGTCCCAAACTGGTCCCAGTTGTCCCCTTGACCACCCAGAGCAGAACCTGGACGTGGTGGCCACTCCTTGGTCACTCCTTGGTCAACTTCTGGTGGCCCCAGGTGACCTTGGAGAACTTCCAGGTGGTCCCAAACTGGTCCCAGATGGTCCAAACTGGTCCCAAACTGGTCCCAAACTGGTCCAAACTGGTCTCAGTTGTCCCCTTGACCAGAACCTGGACGTGGTGGCCACTCCTTGGTCACTCCTTGGTCAACTTCTGGTGGCCCCAGTTGACCTTGGAGAACTTCCAGGTGGTCCCAGATGGTCCAAACTGGTCCAGACTGGTCCCAAACTGGTCCAAACTGGTCCCAGTTGTCCCCTTGACCAGAACCTGGACGTGGTGGCCGCTCCTTGGTCAACTTCTGGTGGCCCTAGGTGACCTTGGAGAACTTCCAGGTGGTCCCAAACTGGTCCCAGTTGTCCTCTTGACCACCCAGAGCAGAACCTGGACGTGGTGGCCACTCCTTGGTCAACTTCTGGTGGCCCCAGGTGACCTTGGAGAACTTCCAGGTGGTCCCAAACTGGTCCCAGGTGATCCAAACTGGTCCAAACTGGTCCAAACTGGTCCCAGTTGGTCCAAACTGGTCCACACTGGTCCCGGTTGTCCTCTTGACCCACCAGACCAGAAGCCGGACGTGGTCTACGCCGACATCGGTGGCATGGACATCCAGAAGCAGGAGGTCCGCGAGGCCGTGGAGCTGCCCCTGACCCACTTCGAGCTCTACAAGCAGGTGAGACCTCCTGGGACCTTCTGGGGACCTTCTGGGGATCTTCTGGGGACCTTCTGGGGACCTTCTGGGGACTTCTGGGATCTCCTGGGATCTTCTGGGAACTTCTGGGATCTCCTGGGGATCTTCTGGGAACTTCTGGGGCCTTCTGGGGACCTTCTGGGGACCTTCTGGGGCCTTCTGGGATCTTCTGGGGCCTTCTGGGATCTTCTGGGGATCTTCTGGGATCTCCTGGGATCTTCTGGGATCTTCTGGGGACCTTCTGGGATCTTCTGGGATCTTCTGGGGCCTTCTGGGATCTTCTGGGACCTTCTGGGACCTCCTGGGATCTTCTGGGATCTTCTGGGACCTCCTGGGGACCTTCTGGGGATCTTCTGGGAACTTCTGGGGCCTTCTGGGGACCTTCTGGGGCCTTCTGGGGATCTTCTGGGAACTTCTGGGATCTTCTGGGGATCTTCTGGGGCCTTCTGGGGATCTTCTGGGATCTCCTGGGACCTTCTGGGATCTTCTGGGGATCTTCTGGGACCTTCTGGGGATCTTTTGGGACCTTCTGTGATCTTCTGGGATGTTCTGGGGACCTTCTGGGGATCTTCTGGGACCTTCTGGGGACCTTGAAGAGCTTCAGGGCACCTTGAGGATCTCCTGGTGACCTTGAGAACCTCAGGTGACCTCGAGGACCTCCAGGTGACCTCAAGGACCTCCAGGTGACCTTGAGGCTTCTCAGGTGACCTTGAAGAGCTTCAGGGCACCTTGAGGACCTTTAGGTGACCTCGAGGACCTCCAGGTGACATTGAGGCTCCTCAGATGACCTCAAGGGTTCCTCAGGTGACTTCGAGGACCTCCAAGGCACCTTGAGGACCTCCAGGTGACCTTGAGGACCTCGAGGAACTCCAGGTCACGTTGAGGACCCTCAGGTGATCTCGAGGACCTTCAGGGCACCTTGAGGAACGCCAGGTGACCTCAAGGGCTCCTCAGGTGGCCTTGAGGTTCCTCAGGTGACCTTGAGGACCTTCAGGACATCTTGAGGACCTCCAGGTGACCTTGAGGACCTCGAGGACCTCGAGGTGACCTCAAGGATCTCCAGATGACCTCGAGGTGACCTGGGTGGACCTTCTCGTCCTTAGATCGGCATTGACCCCCCGCGGGGGGTGCTGATGTACGGCCCCCCCGGCTGCGGGAAGACCATGCTGGCCAAGGCGGTGGCCCACCACACCACCGGTGAGCTCCTGGGGCTG